AACCTCGATGATTGTTGTCAAGTTGGAAGTAGAGCTAGTATGCTGTGCAACTTGCGCAAGTTGCTCAGTAGCCTGTTTCGCACCCTTGAATGCATCACTAGCCAAACGGGACAATGAACCAAACATACTCTTTGTGGCAATACGTGGTTTACTTTCGGTATTTCGCTGCTTCTCTTTTTCTATACCTATAAATTGAAGAGACAAACTTAAATAGCACTAAAATTGTCTTAAAAGTAGGCAGTATCCATCCTTATAACTCTTTTTATTCCCGTAAACGTTCGTTCCACAAACAAGGTTGTTCAAGATTTTCAAACTAATCGATAATGAGAATATAACACATGGCTAAAAGAGGGATAAAGTCCATCTTCTTTACTGTATTATTGAGCAAAGATACCGTACCGTACCTGGTAAAGAAGATACCGTACCTGGTAAAGATTGTTGTTGCTTTTGTTGTTGTTGTTGTTGTTGCTTTTGCTGTACTGTTGCTGAAGCAGCAAAGTATGATGCATAGAGCTGCGACGTGCTCTCTCCAGAATGTACATCCAATGCTAACGTTTCTGAGGCATGCACTGGTGGTGCTGCAAGTTGTGATGCTTGATCGATAGGGAAATGCGCAATGCCTGGGTTGCTCGTATTGAAGGCTTTTGAAGGTCCAATCGATTCCGTTTCTAAATTTATGTGTTTGGTTGATGTTGTCATAGGTGATGATGAAGATGATAGCGAGTGCGATGATTCTCCCGGTGCACTTTCTTTTTCCATTTCTGAGTGAATATTTTCAAATTTATTGAATGGATAATAGATATCAAAAAACCCAATATATTACATTTATTTGGCTTTTGCCTCCTCATAATACAATAAAACCGTGTTCATTCAAAATATTTATAAAAATCAAAATTAACGGTGAATAAGCCTACGAACAAGCATAAGTTCGTCATGTTCAATAGTGAATTTCTTCGAAAAACTGTTATTTAATCCACTGTTTGCTACCTCAATCCGTCATTGAATACTTATTTTGTACTTGAATCAAAATTCACTCGTGAATAAGTTTTTGGGACCTAGTTTGTAAGTGGCAAGTTTGTTTTTTCCATCATCTTTTTTTTCCATCACGTTATACTTCCTAATTGTTTTTTACCTTCTGATAATACTGCTGCTTCCATCCTTCTACTGCTGAATTTGCACTATCTAATGGTTTTACACTAAAAAGCTTCCTTCACTAGCTTCGAATCTTTTTTGATTTGAAAAGCTCTTTACGAACCCGCAAGTTAAAATAAGCAAATTGAATAGTATGACTACCACTCAGCATTCGTTCATTCATATCAGCAAAAAATGATATAAAATATATTGAAAATCAAGGACGGATAATCCGTTATGGAATGAAAATATGAAATGGAACTCCTTTGAGTATTGATTTTCAATATTAATAATTACATCGGCACTGATTTACAGGGATTATTTTAAGGATTATTTTGCTTAACCTTCATTTTGTCCATCTTTTAAATATATTCTAAAGGTCCTGTAGTTGAAGTCATATCAAAAAACATTAGGTTTTTGCTTTTTACACAGAAATCATACGACCAGTTTATCTATAAGACACGGCAGTTGAATAACCGAATAGAATATTTTTGCAATTATTGGAATAGGTCAGTTAAATTTCAGAAAACCGCAAGAGTGCCTTTTGTGTCGTCACATTATGCAATTTTAAATTGAAACCTGGAGTTTCAGCAGCTTCTTCAACGCATAATGAATTTCTCAGCGAACTTAAACGCTCTTCATACCATTCTCCGATGTCTACTTCGCGGCCAAGCTCCTCTAATGATTTCACCTTATTATCTCGTTCCACATGCGCACTTTGCCATGACCTGCTTCGTTGATCAACTGTCAAGTCCTTTTCAACCGATTGCTCTAACAACGTATCATGCGCAGCAAACCTCTTCAGCGGTATTTGACTTGTATTTTGTATTATGTCCTTTTCATTTTCGATGGTTTTGACGCCTGTATGAGTGTCAGACCTTATTTTATTACCATCGCTAATGAAAGGTAAGGCTTCTGGTCCTCTTACGTCAATTGTTGACTTTTTTTTTGTAATTCATATTCCTTAGCATCCACAATCATTTCTTTTATAAAATTTGCACAATCTTCAACTTCTGAATCGTCGTCATTATGCATGAAAACTTTTGATCCATCTTTTATATTCTCAATTTCGAATTGAAGATCAACCATTTTAATATGTTCAATTTCTTCCCTTGTTAGCCCAGCAAATCTGTCAACGGTCTGTTCATCTGCAGCATTTTCTTTTACATCTAACTGTATAGAAGCTTGTGTTACATCTGTGAAAGATGAAGGGTTCATGCCCGAAATCCGTTTGCTTTGTGGACTGAATACTTTCGTCCTGCTGTTTGGCAAATGTTGCGTATCGATGGGGCTTGGTATAACTTGCAACGGCAAGTCCGTATTTTTGATGCTATCAGACATCGCTGAAGGTCCTTTTACTTTTGGAAAACCAGTATCGTCTTTAAATTCCGCAGTTGAAGGGACTGTTTCAGGAAAGAGATCAAACGATTTCACATTGTTTGGATTTAATTCTTCATCTTCATCTGATGTTCCCGGACCAAAATTTGATGAATCACTTGAGGATATACATTCTGAATCTTGATTTTCAGGATATTCATTAGCCGTTTGTAATGAAGCTAAATCCTTCGTTATTACCAGAACTTTAGTATTGTAGGTATGATTAATTTCGTTTGCTGTTGGCATATCGGTTTCGAAAGTATGATTTTTAGGATACGCCAATGTTGGTTCTTTCAGAGTTTGCTTATTTGCTTTGAATACATCTTCTGCAGGTGCAGTGTTCTGGGAAAGTTTTGTCTTATCGACATTATTTTTAAAGTACAGCGTCGTAATTACACTGTTCTTGAGTGGATTCAGCACGTTAGAAAATTTGCTGAAAGCAGCTTCATCCAATGTTACATCGTTTTGCTGCAGTTCCGCTTGATTTACTTCGGCTATCGTATCGTTTTTCATACTGAATCGTCCCATTTGCGGCATTTCAAGTTGCCAAATAGCATTTTTCTCCACTTCTTTGATGTGCTTCAATTCTTCCTCAGTTAGATGATTTTTAAGCTTTCCTTCAATAGCCATTCCATTTGTTGTCAAGTCTGAATCCTTCCTTTTTTCAAGTGAATCTTTTGTGGATTGTCCTTCAAAAATGAAAATCCCCTTTACCTGTCTTGCTTGTTGTTCTACAGCTCGTATTTGCATCAGTTCCTCTTTAGTCAAAGTGATATTCTTTTTGGACTGATTTTGCATTATCTCCGCTTCTTTTCCCTCAGAGATACCACTGTCTTCTAAATGTTTCGCCTTTCCTTTAACAGTACATATTAAAATGTCCTCAGGAAGACAGGTGTCTTTGTTTTCTCTTAGATTCTCATCACTTGCTGTTTCCTCTACTCTCCAACCAGCAAATGATTTTATCTCGTTCGTCTCTTTCTCCAAAGTATTTGCTTGCAACAAGTTGTACTTGGGCAGTTTCTTTGTCCGTTCTCCAGCGACTCTTGTTTGCCCTAACTTTTCTTCGACCGTACAAATATCTTGCATTTCTTGATATTTGTATTTCTCTGTTTCTTCAGATGTAAAAACGTCGAATTCGTCTGATTTTTCCAGTTCTTTTGCCCGCTCATTAACCAGCCTGATTTGTGCCAACTCTTCATTGGCCAGGTTGACGATCTTAGTTTCCATCACTTCTCTCAAAATAGGATTCTCGAATCTTTCGAGCTGGTCCATCCGTCTTTCAAGCTCCTCGTTATGCATTACTTCCTCCACACTCAGCTTCTCTAATCCCTCGTAATACTGCAAAATTCCTGTGGTAGCAGACTTTGCTTTGCTGAAATCTTCTTCAAAAGAATCCTTTTTTATTACAAATAATTTCAAACTTGGTACTTTCTGTAGCGAGTTTGTATCGCCCATGCTGTTAGCTTCACTTGTTACCGAATCTTCTACTCTTTCTTCGCTTGTTTCATAAATCATTCCTTTTGCATGTAATTTCTTTCCCGGTTCCATCTTTTCAGCAAAAACCGTCGTGGTTAGAACATCTTTCCTATTTGGCTCTAATTTCCAATTCATGTTGGAACTCTCCGACGTATTTAATTCCTCTGCTACTTTCGATTCTATTAATGAATAGACAGCTGTAGCATTCTGTAGATTTCTAACAACTTTCTGGCCGTTGCTGGGCCGATTTATCCATTGGATGTCAGCCCCCATCATCATAGCTGCTTCTTCGACTTTTCGAATATGTTCCATTTCTGCATCTGAAATTTCACAACTAACTTCCTCACTTTTCCTACTTCTCTGGAGATCAGTTTTTGCATCCAAACTCGATTCCTGTTCCAATTTCATTATACTGGTTTCCGGCACTGCTTCTCCAAGAATTTCCTCATTTTGCTGTTTATCCAATCTTACAGATAAAGAAGTGCTTCCTAACGGTGTCTCCAGTAAAACTCTTGATTTGCCATCCGCTGACTCTTTAGGCTCATTCGTGTTATTTGTTGTTTGATTAACAGTGCTGTCGAATTTCTCTTTATCAGAAGTATCCACTGAATCTTCTTTGATAGTATCCGCTTTTGTAACTTTAATAACAAATGGGTATGCTCCTTTTTCAGCTTTTTCAATAACACCTTCGATATGTGTCCGTTCGCATAATTCGAAATCATTCATATCCGGAAGCTTGTATATAGATTGTCTGAAAACTTGACATATTTTGCGAGGATGGATAAATTAAATATTTTATTTGTCAACACAGGTTAAATATTTTATCCTTTTTACCATGTGAACCAGACAGTCTGATATCTATCCCTGGTAATTTGAAGAGGGAAACAACACAAAATTTTCTGCTTTTCTAATGTAAAAACACAAAAGACACCTTCTCGAAACCGTTGGTGTTGAATGAGTACTTCGAGATCGTCGATTCGCTGCACTCAGTACCTGAAATTCAAATTCAAATACGTGTATAAAAAGTTTAGTAACTCTTTATTTGCTATTATATACCAGTAGATTAGATATATCCAGTCTAATTAGCGGGCAAATCAAATGGAGAACATGATGGTTTGTACTGCTGGTTTCTTTCGGAAGCGGCTTTATATGCTGCATTCTCCTTTAATCAAAAGTCATATTGCGCTCAGTCGCCAGGACGTATTGTTTTAGATACTTCTTTTTCAATTTATTTGGAATGAAAGATAGCAGATTAAGGTCGATTAAGATTCAGATTAAGAGAATTCCGACCTTTTCGGAATTCTCTGACAATGTAATTAATTAAGACCGATCTATAATTTTCGCAGAATACTCTCTGATAATACTGTTGCATCATTAGTGGTAAAACAAACTTTTCCGATGTGCTCACGTTCCTCACTTGAAAGACCTGCTAATGCACTATCAGGCAATTTTGTTCTCATATCGGAGCCACTGCTTGAAACTCCAGAGGTTCTTCGAAGCAAACCCATGAATTCATTTCTACCATCTGGAGAACTTTTCCGACTCGAAACATCGCTCTGTCGATAACTTGTTCGCCAAAGAAATGATATCGGAGAACGTGGCCTATCATCTCCATTAGCCGTACCTCCTCCAAATAAAGGAAACCAGGATAAACTTCGAGAAGATCCGGATTCTGGCACCGTTACCAAGTGTGGTTCTCCTTTTTCAGTTAAACTGAAACAAATAATTGTATGACCAATTTTTTTAGATTCAAGCAGGAAGAAACTGTCGAAAGATTTAATATGAGTAAAAGACTTGAGTAAAAGAATATGAGTAAAAACTAAAAGACTACTTTTTCGTAGAGAGAAAGTATGAATATATTACAAACATACGAGTTCAGACTTGGTAAATTTGATTTAAACAGTGTTAAAAACTATTTGGAGCCTACTATAGCTCTCTCATAATTTCTAAAAATCAATAAGTAAAAATCTTTCGAAAGTGGTTCCTAACCCTAGTGTGATCTTTCCTTCGATTTCTTCATCACTTTCGGAAGGAGTAACAGATGCTGACTCTGCCTGGCTGTCGATATCAGCGCGCATTTGCAAAAAATACCTAGCCCTTGGATTAAGCTCAGCTCTGAAACGATTTCCTAACTCCACAGCAGCGAGTTCGGCGACTTGTTCTGTTATCCGTTCTGCGAAAAAATTGAGTCCCATTAAGCAGTCTGCATGATGCAGCATGGATCCATCACCAGCAATGCTTTCTCGCTCACAGCGTTCAAATACATTCATTTGGTGAGTCCCCCGAGGTTCCTCATTTTTCAATAGCCACTTTGAACAATGCTTTAACGATTCTTTGTCTTCGTCGTTCTCCGTTTTTGTAAACATGGAATGTGAAAACAGAGATCCAGAAAGACTGGAAATCTCCCCAGACCCCTTCCATTTATCTTGTAAAACCGGTACTATTGTAGTTACGTCAAAATTTGAATCCCCATGTTCTATGGGATTAATTCCGATGTCTCTTAAATTCTCAAACTTGCTTGTCACATTTGATTCTGACTTATCCCGACGACTCAGTGTTTTTTTAGCGCTGTCACTCTTTCCTATTTTTCCCGGTATTCCAGATTGTGAAGCTAGTAAATTTTGATCAGTGTAGACTACAAAAACGCTAGAAGCTCGGGTAAATGACGGCTTCATACCTGCAATATGCGTTTTTGCGGAATATTCTTCCTCGTTATTAAACGTTTTCCAGAAATTAGCCCTTCTGTGGTGCGGCATCTTTTCTGAAAATCGAAGGCTGTGCGTCATTTTTTTGTAGAGTTGATCCGTATAGGTTACTGTTGAAGTGACGTTGAATCCATCAGTGAGGTAGTGGTTCGAATGCTCTAAACTAAATTCAACTTTTCCAATAGGTTGAATTCGTGGATATGATTTCTTCTTGATAAGCACAGCGCCTCTTTCGCCCCCAACCATTTCATTCCACTTGTAACTTTTCCTCGTAAAATTAACGATATCATCTTTGAACAACTGTTCGTTTTTCCGCATTCCAGCATGGGAGTCATCCTTCAAGAATTCTATCATAGATTTGTCGGTAATCGATTGTTCCCGATGTTGTTCGCTTTGCTCCGCCCGTTGTTCCCATGGTCCTTCAAATGCGAATTCTTTTTGCGGACGATTGAGTGACTCATCCGAGTGAGCAATTTTTGAGTTCTCCAAGTTTTCCATAGTTAATTTAAATGCAAACTTCTGGATACCAGCATTGGATTGTTGGTTAGGGAGTTCCTGTTTTACCAACGCGTTAATATATCGAGATCCATTTTCTCTGTGCTGTTTTTCTCCGAAATAATCTATACCTGCCGGTGAACCAATTCCCATAACTTGTGGAATATAAGAACGAGCAAACGACTTTTCACTCGATCCTCCTGATAATGCTAACTGGTCATTTACCACAAATTCATCAGTTAATATTACGCCACTTACAACTTCACCGGGCACTCCACTTATGCTCAAAATGGTTGCATCAGGTCCAGAAGTAGATAAGTCCAAACTTTTTCCTGTTCGGCCTGAGTTCTCAAAGTCCCCACTGCCACATTCAGTAATATGAAGTTTAACGATCTCCTGATTCACCAACTCTCTGTACCCATTTCCAGCATTTCTTAGTTTTTCCAACTCTTTCACGGATTTTATTGTTGCAGTTTTTTCAGCAAACGTTGAACTGTTTGTATAACCGTGGAACTGCTGAACTTCAGCGTATGTCATTTCAGTTGCTGGATGTAAACTTTGAACTACAAGACCGCAAGACTCCATAACTGGATTGCTCATCGAATGTCCGTCATCAGCGTTTGCTTCGTCATCTTGAATACTTTTTGAATTTGATTAGACTTTTTCTTCTGTGACTATCTTCCATGTCAGACATTTCGGCGAAAGGAAAAATAATGTTCTCATGCAGTAACATCGAGCTTTCATCACCCTTTATTATTAAGTATTCATTATTAGTTTCATGGATTTCGATAGCTTCCGACATTGCAGAATTCGTCACTGACTGGCGATCACTCGAAAAAGACTTACAATGTTCTTTTCCTCCCTCAGTGTTGAGGTCAAATCTAATCTCATTTTGATTTTCACTTATAGACTGCCCTCGCAAAGGCTGCAATTTTAAATTCTGAAATTCCAAAAAAGATTCTTCAGCCAAACGTGCAACATTTGCAATATGTTCCAATTCCTCAGCGGTTAATTCGAATCTGTCGTTTAAGCTATATAAGTCGACATGTTGCAATTGAACGAGTGGCGGTAATATTTCGTCGGACTCCAAGCCTTCATTTGCAGCACTCTCTGCAAATGCAATAGACGGTGTTTGGACAGGATATAGCATCTCAGGTTGAGCAGATGTTTTTCTATCCCTTTTTGCGGATCTGGCGGTATGCTCGCGTTCTTCATAGCTTCGCTTAAGTTTAATACCCTCATTCTTGGAGGATTCTGTGATGCATAAATCCTTATTATCCATTTGAGTTACGTACGCTGTTTGCTCCAGTCCTTCCATTGCTAACACTTCTTGATCTTTCCCGGCTAAACCATGAGATGCAAATGAATTATCATAGTATGACCCAAAAGTTGAAAATTTCGTACATTCTTCAGTTCGCATAGATCGGCAAAAGTCGTCTACCGTAATCTCAGCTGATACAGTTTTTCTGGCTGATGCCAAAAAAACGTCTTCAACCGACAAACTACATTCTGCTTCGGTTGCGATGAAACTACCGATACATGGCAAAGCCTTATCTAGACCTAATCCAAAATTACTAGCTGATTTCTCGACGTTATTGAAACCATTTTCCAAATAGAGTCATCT